GGCTTGTAGGCTGTTCTCTGCCCCCTCCAAGGGCTGGGAATGATGGGCAGCAGAGGCCACCCCAGCCAGGGGTCTCGCAACCCCTCACCCAGGAGCAGCAAGAATAGAAGCTGGGCAGAGTCCGCAGCCTGATCCCTAAGGATCAGTGGGGCACTGAAGAGCAGCGGGGGGGGGCTGGATGGGCAGATCAATCTCAAGCTTGAAAGAAGTAGAAAATTAACAAAATAATACTTTGGAAGGGACCTTGGAGGTCATCTAGTCCAACCCCCTGCTCAAGCAGACAAGTGGCTGTCCAGTCTCTTCTTGAAGACCTCCAGTGATGGAGCACCCACAAGTTCTGGAGGCAGGTTGTTCCACTGGTTAATTGTTCTTCCTATCAAGAAATTTATTCCTTAGTTCCAGGTTGCTTCTCTCCTTGATGTGTTTCCATCCGTTGCTTCTTGTCCTGCCTTCAGGCGCTTTGGAGAATAGCTTGACCCCCCCCTTCTTTGGGGCAGCCCCTGAGATATTGGGAGACGGCTATCATGTCCCCCCTCGTCCTTCTCTTCATTAGACTGGACTTCACCAGTTCCTGAATTGCCTGGGAGGGAATCTGTGGGGAGGGGTCAGAAACTTCAATACGGGAGCCACAGGCATCCAACAAAGCCCAGCTCTCTTTGATTGACAGGACAAACATGAAAAGGGCTTTGGCCTTAAGGTTGGAGCCACCCCTTCAATTGTAGACATCCCTGGAATTGTGGCCCAGCCCTTGGAGGCGCACTGCGTCCTCTTCACAAGCCTGAACAACCATCCTGTGAGGGAGGCCTCTACCATCAGCATATGTTGCAAGTTGGACAGAGTTCCCCCCCCCAGTCCATGCTGCACAGCTTTGGCCCCAGGGCCAATTCCACGCTAGCCATTGGTGGCTGCCTGCGTCAGCCCAAGAGAAGGCCTGCTTGCTGTGGTGTGTGTGGGGGGGGGACCTTTTGGATGCTCTCTTGGGAGACCCAGCTGGTGTGGGGTGGGAATGCTGCCTGTGCCACCCTTGAGCTTTCGGAACGTCCTGGCCTTGTGGGGGGGGGGGAAGCTGAAGACACCAGAGGCGCCTGTGACAGATGGAGCCCCCGATAACGAGATTGAAAATAGCCTCCGCCAGTGATGGATGGATCGGGAAAGCCTTGGAAAGAGGCCCTGAGTGTTGACGTGCTTGGCTGTCCTTTCTACACAAAAAATCTCAGCTTCTCTCTGCTGTGTTTATGAAGACGTTTGCAAACACTGGAAATGGCTTAGATAAATAAAAAAAGGCACCAATCGAGATTCTGGGCCATCCAGATTTACCTTCACGCTGTTTTGTTATATTGGAAAAACTTCTGCACCAGCTCAGTGGCAGAACGCCAAAGACAGGCTGTGGACTTCCACAGGACCCACTGCATTCTCTTCTGTTCTATTCTCTATTCTATTCTATTCTGTTCTATTCTATATTCTATTCTATATTCTGTTCTATTCTATATTGTTCTATTCTAGTCTATATTCTATTCTACTATTTTATTCTGTTCTATATTCTGTTCTATTCTATTCTGTTCTATATTCTGTTCTGTTCTGTTCTATTGTTCTATATTCTGTTCTATATTCTGTTCTGTTCTAGTCTATATTGTATGCTATTGTCTCTTCTCTTCTATTCAAGGTGACTTGCACTAACCAGCCGAATCCTGGATTTCTCTTTACCTTTTCTTTTTCTTTTTTCCAAATTGTTCATTTCCACCCCTTCCTTTGGTTTAAGGGAAGCGTCAGGAAGTATTAATACTTCACGTACTTGGGGTTCTAATAATGTCAAGTAGTACTAATACTCAGATGTTACATATTAATATAATATTAATATGATTAATATCAATACGATTAATATTAAATTAACATACAGTAATAATAAATATATATTAATATATTAATTATATTGACATGGTCCAACTTGAAGTTGGACCGAATCCACACAATATGCCAAAAAGCTGGTGTGGCAGATGACACTAAGCCACAAAACCACGTTTAACCCCAGATAAGCCAGATCTTTTGTGCAGTGACCAGCTTCGGAGACCAGTTTTGGAGTATTGCATGATGCACGTAGGGGCAGGCTGCCAGGAACCCAGCCTGGGAGATGGGGAGGTTCTCCCTCTCTCTCTCTCTCTCTCTCTCTCTCTCTCTCTCTCTCTCCCTTCTCTCCCTCCTGTTCTCCCTCTCCCTCCCTCTCGTCTCCCTCTCTCCCTCCCTCTCCTTCTCTCTCCCCCCTCCTTCTCTCTCTCCCTCCCATTCTCCCTCTCCCTCTCTCTCCCCCTCTCCCTCCCTTTCTCCCCCCTTCTCTCCCTCCCATTCTCCCTCTCCCTCTCTCCCCCCTCCCTCATCTCCCTTTCTCCCTCCCTCTCCCTCTCTCCCTCTCCCCCCTCTCTCCCTCTCTCCCTCCTGTTCTCCCTCTCCCTCCCGTTCTCCCTCTCTCCCCCCTCTCCCTCCCTCTCTCTCTCTCCCCCCTCCC